TCTATCCTGAAACACCTAGCCAAAAAATAATCACAACTGAGAGAACTCAAGAGGTAAATAGGACCAATTTAGCTATCAAATTGGCTGAAAGTTCCCTGGATGACAAAATCAAATGTCTAAAAATGGTATAAAATAATGAACTTTTCCCCTTCTTCCACATTAACAAGACTGAGGATTTGGTTGTTTTTTATGAGAGAGGTTATAGCTAAGTAGCCCTAGGTGACCTCAAATTTAAGATCCTCCTACCTAAGCCTCCTGAGAATTGGGATTACATGTACGCAGTACCCCGGCTGGCTGAGGATAGTTTTGAGAATGAATCTTGTAAGACAAACTAGATAACATACTAAGTCTACTCATTAAGATCACTGTTATGGTAAGGAGTCCACAAACCTGGAACACAGCAGCCAAAAAAAAAAAAAAGGTAGCATAGATACTAATGCTATTTTCCAATCAAAGTAGATTCTAATGGACGACAGTCTTCCTGCTATTTTATCCTCTGGGAATATATCATTGTATCTACCACCAACCACAATCCCAGTGAAGCACTGATTAAAATCACTAATCACCACCACAGGTTCTTATACAGGGAATCCAGAATCTTGTAGAGAATATTTCAAAACTGTGTTTGTAGAAAATATTTAGTAAGATTCCCAAATTGCTGTAATTCTTAAAAAGTCTAATCTTCTGAAAGTAAAACTAGTACCAAAAACCTAAACAATAACTCTTGTATTACACTAATGGAAGAATTTCTATTAAAAACCACATGCAGCTGGTATGGTAGCATACACCTGTAATCTGAGCTGGGAGGCAAACACAGGTTGGCTGTAATTTCGAAGCCAGCCCAATCTATACAGGGTTCCAGGCCAGCAAATCTACAAAGAAAACCCATCTCAAAAACAACAAATCCAAACCCAGTGCAGAAGCCAAGTCAGGAAGGTGGACACAATGGCTCAGGCCTGTAATTTCAACCTCAGCACTCTGAAGGCTGAGGCAAGAGGATTGCCACCACTTCCACGCCAGCCTATAAGACCCAGTCTCAAAAAAATTAAGTTTTCCAAGCCTTAAAATTTGACCTGTAATAATTTTATCTCAACACCGGGAACCTAGGGCTGGCAAGATGGCTCAGCTGGTAAATGTACTTGCCGCCTGAAGATGTCAGCCTGAGAACTGGAGCATCATCTCCAGAACCCAGGTAAAGGTTAAGAGAACTGACTTCAGGGTTCTCTAATCTCCACAAGTATGCAAAGTACCCCATCATCTGTGCATACATTCTTTTAAAAAAGGAACCTAAAAGCAAAATTCTTTGAGAATCTTTGACTACAACTTAGATAACAAGGAGGTACCCAAACCCAGGAATCAACATTTAAAGTTTGCTTTCCCTAATACCAGAGTATTCAACTTTCCATTTGTGTGCATTAAAAAAAAAAAAAAAAGGTTAATATGATTTAAGGTTAATGTATCCCAGTTGACTTTTATCAGATTCAATACTGAGATTATATAAGCAACATCCTTCAATCACCCGAGCATCCTACACAGCAAACCTTGAGGACCATAAAAGAAACATACAAGACAGACTACCCAGCCCAAAAGACTTTAAATCCTCATTTAATGAAGCAGGAGACAGCTTATTTCAGAAAGTACAAGCAAAACCACTCATTTAATAGAATTGAAATTCTATTAAAGTACAGTCTATTTTTGAAGGTTAACCATTTGATCAGAATCTCAGGTACTCACTAGCTGTGTGACTGAACAAGTTCTGTGCCTGTTACCTCACCCATAAAATGGAGTATCTCACTGGGCTGTCTTGAGGATTGATATATACCACAGCCATTCTAGGTCTTAGCTATGACAAAAACCTAAAACATTAAATTTAGTGGTTAAGAGAACATGCAGAAGGCCTGTGTTCTAAACCCAACTCTGCCACAACATGGACATATAAGTGGGTTTGTTTCTTTAAAAATTAACCTATCTGGGGCTGGAGAGATGGCTCAGTGGTAAAGAGCATTGGCTGTTCTTGCAGAAGACCTGGGTTTGAATCCCAGCACCCACATGGCAGCTGACAATCCTTCATACCTCCGGTCCCAGGGGATCCAACACCCTCTTCTGTTGTCCTCGGACATTGCATGACAAGGGTGTGTGCGCGCGCACGTGCCCACACACAAAATAAAACCAAAAATTTACAGAACCATAACCTATCCATGCCTTAGTTTTCGGATTTTAAAGTGAAGATGCCAATTCTACCTACTTTTCACATTTGTTAAAAGATTTAATACAGTTGTTTCAAACAGTTATGAAACATTGCAAATACTTTAAACATGGGTTAGCCTTTTAGGCTTGTTTCATGTTTGATTTTTAATAAAGTTTGCAAATGTCTCCAAAATATGTAGTACATTCACTTTGCTTTTAGGAATGTTAAAATTGTTTATAGCAGAAGACTAAAGTTAAGGCTTTTTGATCAGTTAAGGATCAAAAAAACATGAGCTGGGACTAGAGCGGTGGCTCAGTGGTTAAGAGCACTTACTAAGCTCTTCCAGAGAACCCTGGTTTGGTTCCCAGCACCCATATGGGGGGTAAACACCCATCCTTAACTCCAGTTTCAGGGATTCTGACATCCTCTTCTGGCCTCAGGCACTACGCATTCATACAGGCAAACACACAAAAATAATTTTTTTTTTTAAAAAAAGTAAGGGGATGAGAAAAATGTATTCTCAATGGTTTGATCAAACTTACTACTAAATTCTAAAGTTGTGTGATAAGTATTTCAACAAAATACTAGCAAGGCACATAGACCTGTTAAAGCGATTTGAGGAAGGACACTAGACGAAATTCCAAATGATATATATATATGAAAAAAATCATAATGACTATGGCTAACAGGTTCCTTATTTTTAGAGAAAAGATGCCTTGAACCTTTCGGAAATATCCCCTCACTAAAACTATGTTTGGATTTGGGGTGTTTTGTTTTTAGTAAGTACTGGCATGATGCTGATGGGGGGGGGCATCAAACACACAATTCAAAATTTTCTACAGGTTCTATTAACCATGTGCCATACACACACTTTTCCAATTTAGCAAGTTTCAGTACTGCATAATTCTTTAAGATTTAAGAATTGTTTTCACTGCTGCCATTCCAGTATCTAGGAAAATGCCTGGTACAGGTAAGGCTAGGAGATAAACCTGCTCAGAGTTTGAACCCTAAGTGTTTTTCCTCCAAATGTTCACACTTAACCATTACTGCCTCTCTAGAGTTTTAAAATCATTAAAGTGGTATCATAGCAGCTGGGTATCACCTGTAAAAGAAAAAAGAACAACAACAACAACAACAAAAATCAATGAGATCTTTAAAGTTTTCTGTTCTTCATGCATAAGAAAGCTGTGGATCTGAGATAAGGCCACATCTCAGTGGCCCAATCCAATTCCACAGACAAAAGGTTTTGATTTTCTGAAGTATGGTGCAAAAACAAAAATGCTTCTCAAATGGTCAGCCTCAAAATAATCACAGAAAGTGACCAAGACCTTTTAGTTTTTAGTCTCAAACCCTAAAAAGTTTTCTTCCTTTCCTTCCCATACCATCTCAAAAGTACAAGGATTCCAGTTAGCATTTTGCACAAAGCTACAGTGATTATAGAAGGATGTCCTAAGAATTCACGATTTCAGCATCAATATATCAGTAAGGTTTAGCTTTCATGAAATCCCAGTTTGGCCTGCTGATCTTAGCAAGTCATAGCACCAGGTCTATTTTCATAATCCAAGTCCTTCCCATCCTTCCACAAAACTTTGAAAACTACACTAACTGAAGTCAAATGTCCAACATCAAACCTTCCCTGCTCCTATTTTCTGTTAGGGCTGCATTTATTCCACATTTTTTTCAAGTTAGCTGTAAATACTCCACCCTCCTCGATTGTGCAAGAACCAAACACACAACCACCACACACATACACAAGTGACGAAAAAGAGAAACTCAGCCTCAGTTTGAATTTAGGTGAAGTCTTGAGCACCAGAGGTTCTTAGAGCCAAGAAACAACCTGATAAAAAGGTCAACACCTTTTAACAGAGAACAGTATTTCATATTAAAGGAGATGCCGGAAAGAACCTGAACCAGCGAAAGCAGCCGCCATCTTAAAATGCAGGACACAAGTTAGAGCAAGAAAATGAGCCTAAACCAGAGGTGGAGGATCCGCTTGCTTAGAAAAAAAAAAAATCAGCTTTTTCACTTAGGTCCAACCGTCCAATCAAATTACGTGAAGTTCCCAAACAAGCCTCCTTAAGGAAGGAGGTAGGCAAAAATAGTTACACCCAGTATTCTCTTACTGCCATCTCACACCCGGACGACCCCCACCCCCCCAGCATGAAGAAAAAGTGTGGAAAGCTTCCAGATAGCATTTACATCAGTTCCCGGTGCCTCAGATAAACAGCTTCGGGTGAAAGCTGCGACTACACAACACAGGAAGTGGCAACACTTCAGTCCACCTCCTCCCAACCCCACTTACTCTTGTGTAACTGCCCAGATTGGGCGAAGTTTCTGAAAAGACGCATTCACTGCTTTTTAGCAAGCCGGGGATTTACCCTGATTCTCAGTAAAGTTCGGAACCAGACAGGTTTCTTTGATCTGTTTCTTCCTTTAGAAGCCTACAGCCTTGACCATACAGCTAAAATAAGTTGGAAGCACCAAGAATAGGAAGCAGTATCAAGACATCTGCCCGAGGGCCGCTACCCAACTCCACCTCCCAAATCCGACTAACTCGGAAAACCCAGGCGCCTCATCCATAATTTGCACCGATTCCATACTCAACATAACACCTCGCTTGCCCAAAGCATTCCGTTTCCTAGATTTAAATCTCATTTGATAAATTACACCCGCGTTCTCTTCTCTAATAGGAGAGGCAGCGCAAGAAAAGGTATTTTCAGAACTGTGCTTCCCTCCCACCCCCACGCTCTTCTCTGGGCCCGAGCCTTCCTTTCCTCCCACGACCCCATTCCTTTCAGTCCCAACAATTTACCTTATTAATCCGTTTCAGCGCCATAGTCTGTGCTTTTCGCCTGGCTCCTCACTATCGCGATGTGTAGTCAAAGGTCCGGCCAAAACTTGATTATCCAGGCGACAGGGAAGGATTCTTTCTCTCCGTCTCACACCGGCTCTGCCAGAACAGGCGCCTTTTGCAAAAACGGAGCAGATCAGCCACTCGCAGGCCTCGGAGAGACTCTGCTGATTCCAGATCCCCCCCAAAACGATCACGATCCAGGCTTGGTAGGGTGGTAAGGCCACCAACTGCCTCTATCCGTGCGCCCCAAGGTGCGGGCGAGGGTGACGGGAAGAGCGGAGGGGTGCTTACAAGTTTAACTTCCCAGCCTCTCGAAAGGAAGAGCCCGGGTGGGAGAGGAAGAGGCGGAGGAGAAAGGGGTGGGTGCGGGGCAGGGTCCAGGGCCCGGCAGAGGAGGAGCCGGGCCTAGTCCGCGCTAGGCCGGCGTCACCAGGGCAAAGAAAGGCAAGGGGGAGGGGAGCGCAGGCTCCAGACTCCTTTCGGTTTCTGCTCCCAGGGTCAGCCGGGCAGCGGAAGGGAAGCAGCCTCAGAGAGAGCTGCGGTGCCCAAAGCTGAAGCTGCTCTGGATCGCCTTGACACCACCGTCCACTCCGCCTTCCAGCGCGCCACTGCGCGCGCGCTCCCACCTCCTTCACCACGCGCCGGCCGGCCCGAGGCTGGGCTCCGGCGCGAGGACGCGCCCATGCCCCCTCCCCCTCCCGCCGGGCCACAACCTCGCCGGCCTTCCCACCCCACCCAGTCCCCGGGCTGCCCACTGCGGCCGCCCACAGCCCGGGGTGCGCCCGCATGGGCCGACCTCCCTCCCCTTCCCCAAGCTGTCCACACCCACGCGTACAGAGGGCCGGGGCCTCCCTCGAGCTGCGGCCTCGGCCTCCTCCCCGCGCGGCAGCTGGTACCTCCCCGGCCCTACGGGGCTCACGCGCACGACACAGCCACAAGATGTCCGCTCTGACGGAACTACTGCCAGCTGCCACGCTCCGCCCCTCCCCCCTCCCGTCTATTCACCGCCGCGTATCCGTCCGCCAACGCCGGCGTCGCGAGCGTAGGGCTGGCTAGGCGCAAAGGAAGGGGTTTGCTGCCCTGGTTCAGCAGAGAGGATGCGCCACCCCCTTCCCTCTGCGGGTCGGAACAGCGCCTTACTAAACTGAGCGGAGGTCGGACCGGGAGGGCGGGGGACGGAGGCGGGTCATGGGCTGAGGGGGAGGGCAGATGAGTGGCGGAAACCCTTAGACTCAGAGAAGCATCGAGAACCGGAAGAAGACCTTAGGAGGAAGGGAATGGAGCGGCAGCTGCGCGGTGAAGGCCCCACGCCCCTCCCTCGGTGTCCCCGTTTCCTCACTTGGTATGGTGGAGGCGAATCTCGCGAGAATCTCGTGGCAGGCTAACCGGAGCTGGAGGTCTGCAATGACTTAAGGGCAGTTTTGTGCACTCTTCCCGGCTGGGGCCCACCCACAAATCCTCAAGTTCTCGCGAGATGCGCCGGGCCGCTGGTTCACATTGGGCGGAGCGTACAATGCCGCCTCTTGCGTGCTTAAGCTGGTGGGCGGGAGAGGAAATGGAATTCCCGGGACGGTCGGTGCAAGGTGGCACATCCTAAACTCCGGCATCCGATCGAGAACGTGCTGTGGGAGGTTCTGTGAGTTAGTGACTAGATCCCGCTAATCGAGGTTGCGCAGGTTTCGAGTTTCCGGTGGAACAGGTGATCAGTATTCACTGTCGTGCCTGTCCCGGCGGGATAAGCAGCTCGAGGAGGCTCAGCTCAAAATAGGAACGGTAATCTAAAACACACGCAGGTTGACTGCCGATAGCGCTACCACGTGCGGAAATCTGGTACGCTATTGCCTCCGAGGCTCAGAGTCCCCTGCATGGTTCTGAGTTCCAACAACCTGAGAGTCCAGCTGAGTTGTGAGCAGACGGGATGAAGATTGCTAGGGAGAGGAGAGGTTTATGTGTGGAGCAGCAGTGTCTTTCTCCTGATGCTGTTTCAGTTCTTGAGCTAAAAAGTGGTAAAACTCCACCAGAAAATAGGAGTTTGGACCAAAAGAAATCAGGGAGTGATACTTATAAGGGCCACTGGGTCTGTTTTAATCTGCCACATGTATGGTGCAGACGGCAATTTTACTGCCTAGTGTATCCTATTGGTAACTATTTCAAAGACATTTAAGGGCAGCAAGCACCAACCTGTTTAAGGTTTTTTAACACCTCATAATGACCTCAATAAAGTGGAAAGCTTTCAGGTCTACATGAAAATAAGTTGAATTTGAAAATTATAAAGTCTGATCAAGTGACTGTAGTGTCACTAGACTAAGTGAAATGCTGCTGCTCAAACTAATGTTCATAGAAATCACCTGTAGTTTGTTAAAAATGCTGATTTTGATTAGTAGGCCCTGGTAGGAGCCTGAAATTACATTTTTAAAAAGCTTCCAAGTGATACCGATGCCCTCCCGCCCGCCCCAGACAGGGTTTCCTTGTAGCCCCAGCTGGAACTAGCTATGTAGACCAGGCTAGCCTTGAACTCACAGAGGTCCATCCGCCTGCCTCTGCCTCCCCCTCCTAAGAACTGGGACTAAAGGCGTTCACCTCCATGCCCGGCTGATAACAGGTTTTCTAATAGAATCATTGAGTAACAAATCAGTGAATACCCACCTCACGCCCTACTGGACACTTCTGACACTTCCTCCTCCCAGAACAATCCATTGTTCTCTCTTCTGGCTAGCCAATTAAAGTAGAAGCACAGGATTAGGCTCATGGAGGGAGATACCAAGATTTGCGTTCTTGCTTACTGCTTTCCATTTATGATACTGGTCTGGTCACTCATCTGGGTTTGTTTCTTCACCACCAAGCTAGATGTAATAATGCCTATCCTTTCTCACAGAGTTACATGTTTTAAACATCATAATGTGAAAGAACACCATAGACTGCACTAAGCCATATAAATATTTCTTTGTTGTTTTGTTTGAGACAGGGTCTATGTAGCCTTGGCTAGCCTGGAACATGGTATGTAGACCAAGCCTGCCTGCCTGCCTCTGGAGTGCTGGGATTAAAAGCATCACGCCCATCTTGCAATAGATAAATGATTTAAAATTTTTTAATGTGAGAATACAGAGTAATGGGTTTCACTGTGACATTAATTGTTTCTTAAATTTGTAATCTAATTATATGTATGTGGAAATGGGTGCAGAGTATACTCACATGTGTGAGTACAGTTGCCCCCAGAGGTCAAAAGCATTGGATCTCCTTGGTGTTGGAGTTATAGGCACTTGTGAGTCACTAGATGTGCACGTTGGGAACTGAATTCAGGTCCCTTAGAAGAGCTAGAAGTGCTCTTAATAGCTGAGCCATCTCTGCAGCTCCCACTGTGACATTTTCATACATACATACATACATACATATATATATATCTTTGTTCTTGCTCCTTCCCCCTCACACTGCCCCCCTTTTCTCTTTTCCTCGTTAAGTTATTGAAAAGACAAGTCAGGCATTAACTGGCCTAATATAAGACTATATGAACATGAAATAATAAAAATATTTATAAAACGTACTAGGTATAGTGCTTATGTTTTATAAATAAGTACACTCCTTTACAAATGAAGAAACTAAGGTAGATATGTTACTATGCCAAGGTGACAGCTAATAAGTGGCAGAAGTGGAATTTGAAGGCATGTATTTAACTGCAGAGTATTTATTGAATAGAATTTCATAGAACAAGATGTTTTTAATATTTGTGTTTAAGTTGACATGTGAATCTAACTTGTTTCACTTCTTTCTCCATTTGTTTTGGTCTTTCAGAAGCCAGGGTGCAATGATTAGTAAGAAACATTTATACCTACCAATCAGGAACTCTTAACATCTAGGGAGGACAATGAAGAAAACATTCAGAGAAACCACTTTATGTTACCCTAATCTAAACAAGGTTTAGTATAAAATACACTGGAACCTTACAGCTATGCACTAAAGCACAGCACACTGAGAAAAATTTGAGGTCAGAGTTGTGAGGGTTTTGTTCTGTTTTATTGTCTTTTTGAGAGAGTGTCTCCCTGTAACCCCAGCTGGCCTGGATCTCACAGAGATCCACCTGCCTCTGCCTCCCAAGTGTTGGGATCAACGTGTGTACCACCATGCCCAGCAGAGGTCAGAGTTCTTAATTCTTTCTGTGCCCAAAATGTGGGCATAGAGCTGGAGAGATGGATCAGTGGTTAAGAGTGCTGGCTGCTCTTGCAGAGGACCACACTTCAATTCCTAGCACCCACATGGTAACTAACAACTATCTGCAATTACAGTTCCAGGGGACTCTAATGCCCTCTTCTGACCTCCGTGGGCATTGCACAATACAGATGCACTTACATACATGTAGGCAATACACTCATACACATAAAATAAAAATAAAATATTTTTTAAAACGTGGGCAGTTCAGTAAAAATGTGGACCCTTTTCAAAATAATGTTTATATATGCACAAATAATATATACAATATGTTTAAATATAGCTACATATATGTATATATACACATATATTGAAATTCATAAAGGAAAACATTTGAAGTACAGTTATCAAAATTTTAAGGAAAAGCAAACTTGTCTTATGAGTCAATTATGTGTTTGATGAACACTGTAAGATTGAGGCTAGAGATGGAATTGGTATACTGTTTATCTAGCATGCATAAAGCCCTGGGTTCAATTCTCTTTCACCTACAAACTGTGTTTGGTTGTAAATACTTGTAATCTGAGAGGCATAGGGTGGGTAGGATTGTGGAGATCATCCTTACCAGCCTATGGCGCTCCAGGTGCCTGGGATATGAAAGACCCTGGCTCAAAGCAAAATAAAAGTAAACATAGCAGAGTCTAGTAGGTTAATAAAGACCAAAATTTTGGGAAAAAATATATAAATGTATTTCCATAGTTTTATAGAATTGTGATACAAAATTACTTGCAGAAGTAGGTATGGTTAACAGTTCCTATTTATTGCCCATAGCTATAATTAAAGAAATACAAAGTTTTTATTAGAGATTAGTAAAAATAAGATAAACTGTTTTAGCTGGGCATGGTGTTGCAGGTCTTTGGTAATCCCAGCTCTTGGAAGGTGGAGGCAGAAGGATTAGGAGTTCAGGGTCATTCTCAGATACATAGTTTGAGAACAGCCTGCATGAAGACATAAGACCCTGTCTCAGAAAAAAGATACAATGTATTTTCTCATCCACGCCCACACTTACAATTTCTCTGTATTCCTTGTTTAAAAATCTTAAGAGGTCCAAAACAATACAAAAACAAGAAAACCACTATACTATCTTAAAAGGACTGAAATCTTAACACAAAATTATAATTTATACTCATAGCCATAGTAATTAAGTATTTAATTACAACTAGGAAGGAATGTGTAAGAGTATGACAGATTTAGGCAACAGTTTTATCCCATTTGATTCTTTTTTTTTTTTTTCTTTCTACTTTTGGGAACCAGGAATTTACTGGGGAAAACTGACCTTTCCAGAAAGATAAGAATGATTTGTCTTCAGCCAGGCATCTTGGTACAGGCCTTTTAATCCCAGCATTTGGGAGGAAGAGGCAGGCAGATCTCTGTGAGTTCAAGACCAGCCTGATCTAGTGAGTTCCAGGCCAGTCAGGGGTACCTGTCTCAACAAACAAAACAAAAAAAGCATTTTAGACAATTTTGACTTTATCACATTAATCTGTTATACACCTTTGTAAATAAGACATATGAAGAATTATAAAATGAAAATCAAGAATGAAGTAAATACTGTGTATTTAAATTTCATTTTGTTGTTTTCATGTTTTTGAGATGGTATCACAATGTAACTGAGGCTGACTTTGAACTTATGTCAATCCTCCTGCCTCAGTGTCAGGATTATAGGCATGAATTACCATACCCAAATTCAAATAGGTTTTAATAACTAACTGAAGTACTATGTGCTCAGTCCTTTGATTAATTAGCTCATTGAATCCCTAGTATACAGATGAAAACACTCAAGATAATACA